TGGAATAACTTGCACCAAAGGATGGTGCATTCACTGTCACCAGATGGAGAGTGGTCATTTTCCTAAAATGTGACGCTGTGGGTATGGGAGCTGCTGTCACGGGCAGAAATTGGTGAGGTTGTATGGCATGGGTTACAGAGCCTGTCACAGACTGCGTGCACATCTAACTTTGCATTGTATGCAATCAGAGAACAGCAAGCTTTTGTCAGTAGTGAGGAAACCTGAGAAAGGCCAAAGGAAGAGAAGCATCTCTACTCCTTGTCCTGCTAAAGGTGAGTAGTGGTACTATACAGCATGGAGCCAAACAGAGCCCAGGGTAAAACTCAGCAATATATACTAGTTTAGGCTTCACAAGACACTTCTGGAGTCAATGGCAGGGGAGGAAAGGGGTTTAAGTAACAGTAATTATAAAGTGTCATGGAGGGGGGGCAGTGAGGACTGCTGCTATAGCCAGCTGACAGCATTTATGAATATTGCACCCAAAAAGCTTGAAATTTCTGTTGGGCACACCACTGTTTGATGTTTCAATACAGTAGGAAGAATTTTTGTCTTGACCTCCCCTGCTCTGAACACCACAGTGATCAAAAGTCTGTGTCGTTTTTATTCTGGTTAACAGATGATACAGGCCCTGAGCAGTCTGTATTAAATTAAACATTTTTACCTGATGCTCCATTGCCCACACTGCAAAAATTCTCATGTGAAGTCAGGTAGCCCCAAAGAAGAGGCCCCAACTGGTAGAATTCCTCTTGAAATGAAAGCTGGTTTAGATCTGGAATGAAGAAGTTAATTGAGTATATTCCTAGCTGGATTCACCTCCTAGCAGCAGGGTCAAGAAACAGTTGTGAAAACCTAATTGGGGCAGGAAGAGTAATTTCTTTGTACATGAACTATCACAGTTGAATGATGATACCATCATTGAACCATATGCTTTTGCACAAAATACCTTCATTAATTATTGGAAAACGAAGCAAAATCAAAAATGGAAAATGGTTTTAAATTGAGTTTCTTGTTCTCTTGCCCTCACACTGATTGGTGGCTGGCCCTTCCAAAAGTCAAATGGATCATTCTTGAAAAGCTGGCTCAGATTACCTAGTACCCTAGCGACTGCCTCAGATCTGGCATATGCCTTGACCCAGTTTTTCATCCTCTACCCTGTGAAGAAATAGAATCATTTATCTATAGCCATAGTGTAAAAGGAATGAAAAGTCACAAAATTTATAAGGAGCAGAATAAAAGGACTAGTGATACACACAGAAGAAAGGGAACAGAAAAGATTTAAAAGAGCAAAGGGACAGATCAGAGGAATTCCCAGGATTGAGGAATAGGGAGTGAAATGGTGACTTGGGCGTGAGAGAAGTCAGCCATAAATGACAATGCGGTACATTTGGGACAGTTTCTGATGCAATACAATTACAAACAGTCTGAAAAGCCAGAAGCAGTTTCCCAATACGGGTTGAAAAGGTAAGGGCAAGCTCTTGCATATCCTGTGACCTTCACCCTGTGAGCTGAGCATCATCTCTAGCAATGACTGTGAATCCTGCTCCAGGTGACAGGCCATTGCCTAGGCTGTGCTGCTAAGCTATGCAGACATGCAGAAATGAGGTTAATAAATTAAATAGTTCAAGAGCTGAGCGTAATCCATGGACAGCATATGTAGCTAAGTGTGAGCGAGAGGTTGTGGCTTCTGCAGCAGTGAGTCAGTTTTCAGCTTGTCTGGAGCGAGTGTGCCTCCTCCTAGCCAGAAACACCCATTCCTCTCTGGCCTGGGTCTCCTTTCTGTGTCAATGGATGAGTACAGACAGAACTTGAGAGCACAAAGCTTGTACCACGAGGTAGGCTGGGAGCACTTGCTCAGCTGTGTGCTCAGCTGCACAGTGCAGCCATGTGACTATTTGTAACTTATTTAATCATCCGTTGAATCATTTTAATCTCTGAGACACATGCAGTTGCATTTCTGTATCCGATTTCTGTCAACTGTAGCCTGATTATTTTAAGGGGGGAAAAAAAATTGGTCTAGCTAGATTCCTAGACTAATACCTGACAAAGCTCCTGAGATTTAACATAGCAAGTAAGAATGTTAGAAGATTGTGAAACTACCCTAGACTATGTCAGAGTCATAGCCCGAAGTACAAAGCTTTATTAAGGAGTGTAATTTATTTAGGAATCTTTATACGATTCCTTTATATTTGCACGGGAGGGGAAAATGACACAGTGAAGATGCTTGTGTGACAGGCATCAACAGGAGCAAGTTGTGCCAAGAAATTCAGACTTGCTTCTATGGAAGATAACAACAAAAATTCTTGCTGTGTTCAGTGGAAGCTGAATTAAAGAAGGGTTGTAGATCTGTCTCACAAGATACAGTACTGAGACCTCCCTGCAGTATTAATATACACTTTCCAGCTCAAGTTTGTCTCATTTTCTGCTAGGTGGAATAAGACCAACTTCTTGAATTTGCTGTTACTTTGGATTATGTGAATAGATCTGTTGCTACAGGCAATGCATTCACAATTAGATCCATTCATTTGCCACACTGCTTAGAGAGGGCTGAATCTTCTCCATGCTTTTTTAATTTAATTTTAAGTGACTTGATTAAAGCATATAAACAAAGTGAACCATCTCTGTCCTTCCAAAAAAAGAACTAGCAAACAGTCAGAGTATCAGTGTTCCTTCTTTTTCTGCATCCCGTCAGGATTTTTCCTAAAATGCAGTTTTCTTTACTGAAAGGAATGGCTGATAATTTACAACAAATAATAAAATATATTTAAAAATACATACCGAGACAACTGCAATGTATTTAATTTAGAACCCTTTTTTCTGGGAAGGTTAGCTTTTTTTAAATAGACAAAGTCCATCAGGCCAAACACTCGCAGGCTGGTATTTGGTATGGTTCTGCTGCACATTTTCTCATTCAAATTCTTCTCTTTCTGTTTTTCATTTTACATTAACAACAGCAAAAGGCTCTGAAGAATTCTAATTTATTTCTATGACTAATGATTGCAAGATTATTTTCTGTGCCACGTACTACTCTATGCCGGTATATATTGCCACAATTTAGTGATTGGTTTAGTAATCTAATTAATTTGCAACACAGATCACAATTGATCTTGAATATGTGTCTGCAGATTAAATAGTTCCATAAAAAATACCCACTTAAAAAAAAATAAATCAGTGATTTCTGCCAGACACTTTTATGTTTAAGTTAATATATAGTAGATAAGCAAAAAAAGTTATTATACGTATCACTAAGAAGACCAGGAAGAGCCCATAACAACAAAATCAGTAGTTAAATATGAAACCATTTCATACTCCTAATTAAACCTAATTAATCTTTTCAGTGACACAGCAGCATGCTTTCTACTCATAAGCTGACAATACTGCAGGAAGTCTGAAACAAAATAAATTATTCTTTGCTTGTTTGCTACCTGGACAAAGATCAATAATGCCTCAGGGCAAACAGTCTATAGCCAATCCTTTAACATAATTCAAATTGAAAGGAAAAATCTGCCTAATGGCAAAAAAAGCACAAAAGAGCACAATAAAGGAAGAATTTGTGATGCACTGTATATGCATTTAAAAATCTACACAATATGTGAATTCATACAATAATACTGCCCTTAAAGCTTCCTTAACACCATTAATTTAACTTTGCGTTGCATCAGTGTGTGCAGCAATCACTACATGGCTTTATGCACTGCAAATACTGAGGTTTTACGTGCAGATGCTCCAACTTTTGCTTCCTTAATCATTAATGTCATCCAGAATCACGGACTGGTTTGGGTTGGAAGGCACCTTAAAGATCACCCAGTCCCACCCCCCTGCCCCGGGCAGGGCCCCCTTCCCCCAGCCCAGGGTGCTCCCAGCCCCGTCCAACCTGGCCTTGAACCCTTCTAGAGAGGCTGGAGGCTGGGGTTCAGTAATTTACTGCTATTCTTCTGCCTTCAGCCAGTGGGAACCAGAAGGTGTAACTGCCTCCCAGAAGTGGTTTCCATAGTTTAGTATCTTCCAGCACCCATTAATTCAGAGACAGCCTTCATGTAATTAGTTAACAAAAGCAATTGGAGAAATTTTTCAGGGTGATCGCCTTACACTTTGAAGTCTTGCTTTCTTGACTTGCATTTTATTTGCTGTCTGGTTCATGCTGATCAAGAAGTGGCTGAGACAGTTTCAAAAGTGTGCATGTGTTCTGGTGGTTTTCAGAAAGAAAACGATGCCTGCTTTTCTGCCTGCCATTTCCAGAAGTGTGGCAATGCTGAATGCACTTTAGTTGGATGTAGTATAGATGAGTCAGATGTAGGAGCACGTCTTGGACAGTCCAAGTCAAAGGCCAAATACTGGCTCTGCGGTGCAGATCTCTCAGTGTTTGATGGGCGTGCACAGAGCTGCAGAACAGCCGCCTTCTTTAAACTGCAGTAATCCTCCCCAAAAATGATGCTGTTCAAAGGAAAAATGATCCAAAATCTTGAACCATTGCCTAGGCTGGTGGGAAGGAGCTGACACTGTTAGGAGTAGTGCAAGAACTGTTACAAAAAGAAGTTGAAAGGTGTGCTCAGCTGTTTGAATGTACAAGAAATCTTTTCTGTGTATTTTTGAGTATTGCTAGTAAAACAGTATGTACTTGCTTTAGACTGTGATTGCTTCATATATCTACTGAAAGTAAACAAAATAACCCCCCAAAAGACAGATAATTCACCCTTGATGAGACTAACCATAGAAAATTTCAAATGAGAAGGAAAATCTTGCTGAAAATTATGAGAAAACATGAACTAAAGAAATTAAAGACTGTTTTGCAGCCTTCGTACTTAGGCTTGTTGCCATGTGAACAATCTCTTGATATCTCTTAGTACATTATAAAAAAAAAAAACAGAAAATGATACAAGGTAAAAATTTTGTTTTAACTAGGGACATTTTGCTAGACAAATTACAATGTTTAAAAACTTATAGTTTAGATTTTAAAAAACAATATAAAGTTTGATCCCTTCACTATACTTAGTAGACAGGTACATGTTTAAGAATTTTATTTAACAGACTAAATGTATGGATTTACAGTCGTTCTTATTTCTGGTAAGTAACATGATACGCTTCAGCCAAAGTTGCATTTCAGGAAGGTGGATACACAAGTGAATATGTATGTTATCAGAGGACCCATTAACAGCACAGAGACTACTAGTAAATATAACGGAGTGTGAAAGGTATTGGACATTATTATTCATAGTTGTTTCAATTTTCATAGTCCCCAGATTCATATTCTTCCTCATCTTCATCATCAGAATGGTCATAATAGTCGCCATATTCAATGCTGTAGCTTGCACTTCTACTGCCAGCAGTAAATGCAAATGCAGGAGATGAGCCTGCAAGACATAATTGATACCAGATTAAATTAGTTGCAGATAGGAACAAAGAGGAAAGTATGGCTTTGGATCTGCACAGCAAGCTCAGTGTTTCTGAATCCTTGTTAAGTTATCTATTAAAAGGAGAGGGTTTTTATCCAATGACTTGACCTCATACCACTGAAGCTGATGATATATAAACAAATTTCTATATCATTCACATTTTAAGATGTTGAAAATACATTTAATTCCCAGTACTAGTAAACTATGAGTTCAGTCCTCTGCAGATCCTATGCACCTGAAAATATGACCAGAGCCAATAAAACTTTGAAAATCACTTGCAGAAACAAGGTCAGTGACAAACTAGACCAGTGACAAACTCCCATAGACCAGGAGGCAAATAGAAGACAATGCATCTTTATCCTGTGTTTGCCAGGAAACTCACTTCTCCCCAGAGGAAGAAGGATGTTATTCTGCAAGACTAGGCCCAATGCAGAACAGTAGTAAAGCTATTTGTTATATCTTTCGAAACACTCTCATTAAGGATCTCTAACTGTTTCCTTCCTAATTTTTTGAAAAATAAACATCTAAGCAGGACTGGCACGGTTCAAAGACTCCCTCAGCTACAGCTGCTGTTGTTCTGGGAGCAGAGTTCCTGCTAACATCAAAGGACTTCTGTAGGATAAGGATAGTGGAATAATATGTCTCAGCTATATGGCCATAATCCACAGCTTTCTGTTTGCTGGAAGCTGGTGTAATTTGCAGCAAAATATTAGAATATTAACCTGTTAGGGGATAAAGGACAAGAAAAGCACAGAGAAAAGTTAAAATATGGATGTTTTTAAGTAGTTTCTCATATCCTTCATTTGCATTCTGACAAGACAATCCTTTGCAGCCTGCTTGTATGCATTTTCATATTCTTTACATCCAAATAATAAAAAAAATACCATCAATGACTTTCAATCTTGCAGAAGCGTATGTTGCACCATACTTATTTTTGGTGTGGCAGATGTAAACACCTTCATCTGATTTTTTGAGGCCTTGAATCTGCAGCCAGCTTGTCACACCATGCTTTTGAGGCCCACCTCTTGCCTTTAAGAAGAGAAAGAAATAGTTGAAATTAAGTAGCTAGGAGACATCATGATATTTCTCAAAATAATTGTGGGTGAATTAAATTTGTTTACTGCCATCTCACTTTGATTCTCTTTCCTGCTGCTGCCCTATATTTTAACTTGCTACTGCTCTGTGCTTCTGAGTTCATGCTTTCGCATCTCTGCTCATTAAACTTTATTGCCCTTCACAGTGCTTTCAATTCCTGTTCTTTCTTGTGCTGCTGATTCCCAGCACTCCTCATGCCGCAGCACCACTTCTTGCTGCTGCTTCAAATCATTGCCACCTGATATCAAGGTCATAAATTTCTCCAGGATGGAAGTGGCAGGTGGAACTGGGTGAGTTGTTCAGAGCCAAGGGGCCTGACAAGCTGACACTCAGCGTCCAGGTTTTAATGGATTGGCATGACATACCATGAGCTTTCATACTTCATGACAATCGGTTTCAGCTGACTTGGGCTAAAGCCTCTTAAAAGGGTAAGCTTTCTTTTCCAAACAAATAACACAAGCCCATTAACAAATCTCAACAGAGATGCTCTCACGAGGAATCTGTTAATGAGATGGGTTAACAAGGTTCAGTTTAGCCTCAGAGGTGACCAGCATTTTGATGCGGCTCCTTGCACCTTTGTTTCTGAGCAACTTTAAATCCACTAATCCTGCTTGTGTTCATGCTGCCTCTGGAAACTTTTCTAAATAACTTAGTACTTCAGTACTTTTGGTACCTCAGTTAGCTTTTTCTATGCTTTTCCTATCTACCTTTTTGTTCAGGTTGTGCCCCGTGCCCATTGGATCTTACTGCTTTTGGGTTGTGTATCCAGAAAGCTAGATTTGCCATGCATTTCTCTGCAGAGTTTCTGCTCATATTCTTTGTCCACTGGAGAAGGCATGCAGATGCAGGCTTCAGCCTTACTGCAGTCTGCCTGTACATCTGGCTTTGGTAGCTCATCTCTCCAGAATGTTATTTCCATTTAAAAGAATTAGCACTTTCGTTTATTTAATTTTAGCTCAAACTTTCATGCTATTTCTAGATTTGCTTGAAGCCTGTACTAATGCCTTTCTACTCTTTCCCCTCAGATTAAAACACAGTGTCCTCCATAAAATGGGCAAGTTTCTTTGCTTTCCTTTTGAACACCTCAGGGACTAAACCCAAATGGTAGGTCTTCAGAAACAGCATCTTGCAAAGGAGAAGTTTAGAGACCTGCTAGAATTGTGCTTCTACATCAAGAGTAGAAAAACTGTTGCCAACAGCCATCCTTCCCAGAATGCACCTTTTTTCAGGTATTAGCCTAAACATTTGTATTTATGTGTTCAATCAGTTTTTCCAGAATCGTAACATCCTTTCGTTCCCTGACGTGCACCGGATGGTACCCTGGCTGTTGTTTCTTCTGCTTGCACTGCCAAAGCGATGATCCTTGCACTGACTGAAATTGTAATTCTTTCTATAGTCAGAGGACCCCTACTGGGAATCCATTTATTACAAGAGTATTGCATTCTGTAGGAGGAATTCAGTGATTAATCCCCATACTCCTCATCTCAAGCCACATGACATGGAAAACTCAAGTTTTACCTGTACTGAGATGTGGGCGTCATCTCCTGGCAGAAACATTTTATTCCCTTTTTTTTTCCATTCAAGGTGTGGCATAGGATAGGCTGACACCTCACAGCCAAAAATTACATCATTGCCTGTAAAATTCTGGACATCTTGAGGTGGCATAGAAATAACAGGAGCTGCAAAGAACCGACAGAACAGTGCTTTAGAAGTTGGTGAACAAAAGACAACACAAGCACGAAAGCATATAACAATTTCTACTTTACATGATAAAACCAGTTTGCCTTTTGCCATCTCACACATTATGAAGAGCCAAATGATTCCAAGCAGCTTTTAAAGCTCAGAACACCTTGTGTCCCATTAAAGGGTGAACAGGCTTTTTAAAAGCACTTACTTCAAAGGACCCCTCTGTCCTTCCCCTTGTGCGTGATCATGAAACTTAAACTGAAATTAAAAGTTTAATTTGTGTCCCATGAGCTGTCATCATGGATGAGACTCAAGGCCCACCAGCTGAGCAGCCAGTACTCAACTAGATCTTCAGACGAAAGTACAAGAATTTCTGTAGCAGAAAATTACAGGAGTAACTTGATTGTATGTGATAGTTCTTAATTTCTATTACATTTCAGTTAGTTTAAGAGCTAAGTGAGATTGCTAGCTTGTCAAAATTTGGCTTCTGAGTACACCATTGCCTTGAACTTGCTAAAATTGCATCCCCCTCTGTTACCCATGGAACTCATTGCAGCAAGGTACAGAATAACAGCATTAATACATTTCACATTTATCCTCAATTCCTATCAATTTCATCTGATGTTCTTGTTATGAGACAAGTAATAGAAGTGATTGAAATCCAATTATTTTTATAAGGTTTTATGTTATTTTTCTTATCATTATTAGATTTCCACTTGTTTGTTTCCTGTTGTTCCCTTACCCTCATCCCCCTCCACTTTGTTTATTGCTTCTGAATTACGCTCTTCCACTTTTTCCCAATGAAAAAGCTGACGTTAACCACGAGAGGGAGCCAGTCCAGGGATTTGAAGACTGAAAAAATAAACTATGACCTGATGCATTCATACGTGATTTAAATATATATCCCTCTATAAGAATGTATGAACATACTAAATGTTAACAGGAGATTACGATACTTAGCAGCAGAGAGCAAAATACCATCTACTGCTATCACAGCTTTCCTATTTTGGAGGTCTCTGCTATTTTCCTGATCTATTTGTCCTCCGCAAGAAATGTTTTTCCTTTTAAAGTCTATTTTCTTTCTATTTCCATATCAGTGTTTAAAATGAATGTATTTTCTGGGTCATTAGACCTGTATTTAAGTATTGCTTTTGTTTTTGTACAGATTCCAGGTGCTTGGAAATAGAAACTTATAATAAATAACTAATATATTTTTACTTGCAATACTTGAATCAATATGTAGGTACAGCATTTATGTTTCAGCATTTGAAATTGTAACAGCCTGTTCCAGGTTTTCAAGCAACATTTCTAATACATTTGTCAGTTTTTCAGGATTGCTGTCTGTGCAGAAAATATCAAATGCACACTGATTAAAATTAATTGCAAACAAATTACACATCAAACTATCAAATTCTCCATTTGTGAATGCCTCATTAAACAATCCTGCTACTCTTCAGAAGTAAGACTGTAAAACTAGGATGCTTAAACCCTTAAATACTTGTTCTTTCATGAGAACTGTGCCGTCAGAATCTGTATATTACATCAAAAATCTTATATTCAAATCAGCATTAACGGAATGTCTTGGATGAGAAATTTTTTGCCTATGAACTTACCACATAGTGTTTGATATGAAAAAATACTTAGAAATATTAAAAGTCAGAACAACCTCACTCCTTTTAATGATACATCCACTGTAGTTAAGCTGAAAATGTAAAAAAGAACCCAAATGTCTACATTGACTCGTACAAGTTCTTTAAATTATTGTTGTACAGAGACAGCATTTAAATAGGCAGATGTTGACCAGTTAGTAATTTTGTTGTGGTGCTATTGCGGGTGTCCTATGCATATGCTGACAAGACTGAAGTATTGCCAAGAACTGAGTCCTGCTTATGTGACTGTCCACCGTTGCGGCTCAGCCACGTGAGGCTGAGGGCTCTGGCTTCACTGCACCAGCTAAACACATCCCGAGCTTCGAGGGTGTAAGTGTCAGAATTACAAATCTCCATTATAGCTGTTAACGTATGAGAAATTTGTCTAGCACTGTCTACCATACACCAGGATGAATTCCACACTGGAAATAGCCCTTCCTCCATTACCTGTAGGGAGAATACGGGTGATAGCTTGGAAATGTCTACATATGGTCTGAGTCCCCCAGCTGAGTACTTTTATAGAGGTAGTTCAGGCTTTGCTGGACCAGGGCTGACCAGGACCGGCATCATGTGAGATCAAACTCATTGCAAATACGAACAACCACAGTTTTCATGTAACCAAACTGCCTTTTCTGAATCTGAACACACGATAAATACTTATCTACTCAAACTTGAAGTGCCCCCCCAAATAAAATAATACATGTCTCACAACACTGTTTTGCTATATTTTACAGAAGAAAATTGAAATAATGATGTATCACTTTAACAGAAATTTTCAAACTTCATTTGTGAGTGTTTCAGATTTTGTGTTTGGCCAAATTCTCCCATGCGTATCTGTTTGTACTTTTTTCACGTAACCGTGTCTTTAGAAATGGATCTTTACTGTTATGATAACCTGTCATTTTGATTCCTGGAGCAGATAAATTTTTCTTGATAGCTATACAAAGCATTCATATGTCTCAGTGTCCGAAGCTAAATGTGCAGTAGTTGTTCCTTTCCTTTTACAGTCCCAGTCACGCATTATCTTCATGTGTTACAGAAGACATAAACCAGAAGCCAGAAAAAGTCAAAATACTGCTTCACCTTTCACAATCAACATTAACCCAGTATCATTCCAGACTAATGAATTAGATAATGTGATAATTCTTTTTTCCCTTAATTCTTACTAATTTTTGCTAATCCATATCTTATTTGATGAAAATGGCAGAAAATTTTGTGGCTTGTTTATTTTTTTTTACTTGAAAATTTACATTTAAAATACACTATGTGACACAGCTACAAAGAGAACCACTGCTAGATTGTTCCGCTACTTCGTTAAATCATCAGCAAGAGAAGTTTGAATGTGAATGGGGATGGATTAAGTGTGGAGAATCTGTATATAATCAATGTACTTAGTAACCTTGGTAAATTATTAGATAAACTGATCAAAACTAGCTTTCAGGGAAAGAAAGGCTTTTTCAGTGCTTCTTTAGGGAGCTAGGCCTTTTTCTTCTCCTTTTTCTGGTGATAGATGAAAGATAAAAGACTATACTCTTCTGATGAAAGGAGTTTATTGTTATTTATTTATTCATTGGTTGCTGTATACAATTAATCCATTTGGCATCAATAGGAAACAGCAGATGCTTTGAAGGAGAAATAACAAAACAAAGTACTTTGAGTCGAGTGAAGGTTATATTTATAGCTTGGTACCAAAACCCCACAGTGTTCAGTGTTTGTTTCTCATGCAAATTGGAGTCAGCGGAAAGCGAGTGCCACAGTGAGTTTGCTACTCTTAGAGCCAGACTCCCTGTTGCCTTTTGTCATCAGCTGCAGCCACGAAAAACCAGTCTAAATCACAGTGCACCTTCACATGCTCAGTGTGCTGCCTCAGATAGCTGCCGTGGCAAAGAGGGGGCTTACTGGGGGACTCTCACGGGGCACTGAGGCATGGTGCCCCCGTGGTAGCACCTCTCGGCCCAGCTGCTTGCTGGAAGGCCCAGGCTCCTTCCAGGGTCTGAAACACAATCTACAAACCCAGCATGGTCAGCTGCTGCTCAGAGAGGTTGCGGAAAGGGGCATTTGTGCTCCCCCTCCCCGGCGAGCCCAGCACCCACCTCGGGCTCAGGCACCCCACTGCAGCTGGGCACGTTCGCCAGCCACGCAAGAGCCGTGGACATGGGCCCCCATTTCTCTTTAACTAAACTCTGCACAGCACTGACATGGCTATGAACTTTCCCCCAGGCTTCTGTGCAATTCAATAAGCTGAGCAATCCTAGGAATATTTCTCTGCGTTCCTGAAGAAGAGGTCCAGCCTTTCTGGGACCCAGGGAAGCAGTGGGAAAGCGTTGGGGGTGATGCCTGCCTGCAGCTGAGCTCATTCCTTCTGCTTGATGAACAGTGTTTATGCACCTCCGGGGTGACTGCAAGGTCTGGTGGATGACAACACCAGCAATTAAAAGTGCTAGTACTTCCAAATTAAAGCTTTTTGTACATGGCTAGTTCTGTTTAATTAATTAGAGCGGACCATTACTTTAAGCCTGTATGCCTGAACACCTACCTCTGCTGCAAAGTTAACATCACTCACTACTAGAGTGGCACTTCTAACTGAAATCTTCCTGAAGGGGTTATGCCGCAAGAACGAGTGCTATTTTAATCCCAAATAAGAACACCTACCCGAGGGCTAATGGGCTTTCAATCAGACTGTGGGCTGGTATGCATTCAGTTTTCTGAACGTCTTTTTACTGACAAGCCTCATTTCCCAGCTTAATACCCTAATGGCAAATAAGGGATTCTTTAATGGATCTTTCTCTTGCAACTAGAGAAGGAGGAAAGAAGTCAGGTATTAGCTGTTCATCACTTTTCATTGTAAGTATTCAATATCCAGTGTTCATTCAATATAAAAGTACAGCACACAGTCTAAATTGGAGGCAACAGATTGCTAGCGAGGAGTAGGTGAAATGTACCAGAGTTACGCTCATATATGGACCTTTGCCAGAGATGCAATTTCAGATTCCCAGAATTGTGACCTATTTGTGACCCAGAAACCTCTTCCACTTACTTCATTTGAGAAAATATTTCATTAACTTTAAAATATATAATAATTTCTCATTCAGAAAACAAAAGCCTGTTCACTTTTTCATTTTATATTCATGTGACTTAGGTGAAAGGTGCCCAGAAGTAAAGACTCGTAATAATGTGAAGAATGAGAACAGCATATGAGCAGGAGGTAGGATTCCCTGTACAACTCAACTAGGAATCCTTCCACTAACAATCATTTCAGACAACTGCTCATGCAGTGTGTCTTTAGGGAAATTGTTTCAGTTTGATTTTGTTCTAATACTTGGATTTCTATGTCATAGGTTAGCTAGCTTTTATGATGATTCCAAAATTGGATTATTTTGGACTTCTGTGAAAATAACAGACCTGTTAATTAAGTCCTGTCTTCTTCTATTGCCTCTACTTCACTGCTTACCATATATACACACATGTAGATAAACATATGCATACATGTATATATACATACATGTGTGTGTGTGTGTGTGTGTGTGTGTGTGTATATGTATAAATGAGATCTGCTTTGCTACCACCGCTTTAATAATCAGGTCAGTCCTCATATAATAATTATTATTATTTGTCCAGCCCTCCCAGACTATCCTATCTGTCTACCTATTCCCAACTACACATACAAGTTTTGTAGAAAATATCTCATATTCTGCTTATTCAGAGCAGAGCTAGTCTGTAGATCTATGGTTTATTAGTCACCTTGCGATTTAATCCACTAGTTTACTATGGAGGCTTATAGCATTCAAGATTAAGTACCAGCTGCTGAACTACATGTTTAACACAAAGTAGTAGTATGAGAAAATAATAAATATAACAAAAATGCAGTATTAGTTTAATAAAGTTAGAATATAGGATCTAGTAACATATCTGAAAATCAGAATCAGGTATTTTTTCAATTTGGAAGTGCCTCTGTACACATTACCTGATTCACATGGTCCTTTATGTTTCATGCTGATATTTCTTTTTGTAGCATAAGCCTTGTTGAATTGACAGATGTTCTCATAGGTTTTCCCTTCAGGTCCACAGATGCTCTCTTGAGACTTGCACACACACTGGGGTTCAGGGACTTCCCCATACCTTGCTTCATCAGGATCCAACCTGCACTCGAGGTTGTCCCCACATTGCCCGTAAAAATGATTGCCCTGGTCCAAGTCGCAGATCTGACCTTCCACATTTCCACATTCAGGACAGCAGCCACAACGGTCCAATACAGTCCCGGCTGGACAGTCTTTAGGCTCAGAGCAAAGTGCCAAATCGCATTTTCCACAACTATCTCCTTCCCTTAACAGCCTCCACCAACCTCGGTGATACAAGGCAGGGAAACTCTGAGAAACCTGCACCAGTACTACCAGCAGTGCTGTAACCATCGGGTGCTTCATCTTGAGAATGTAACGAACGAGCGGAAAAGGTCCTTGGAGTAAAGCCAGGGAGAAAAAAAAAAAAAAGGAAAAAAAAAAAAAAAAAAAAAGAAAATAGTAAGCTAGTGAGAGAAAAACATCACAATCCTTTTTTTGTTCTTGTTTTAGAATATAAATTCTACTGCAACCACAGTCTTTAAGAAGAAATTAGCATCAGATTCCTAATCTGGAACTGATAATAAAAATGTATACAAACCCACCGGCTTTTCTGAAATGCAGTTTGGAATGCGGGTATTGCTTGCACAGAAACCAAACTGCCCCTTCTGACAGCTGAGTTGGAGCTCTCTGAAAAGCTGTTTGCTCAGAGTCTCTTTGAGCCAAATTTGAAAAGCATTGCTCTACTGAAATAGCATTATATTGCAGCTATTGTAGAAAGGAGAAAAGGGTAAATTAGTATAAAATGAAGAAATTAGCTGCTATGAGCTTCCTCCCTGTCATCAGTTGAAAAAGACAGTCACAAAAAGATAAACCTGGGTACAAAGTAGCATACAAGATACCAGTACCCTAGAGCTGAGCCAGTGCTTCAGAGACTGAAGCAAGGTTTAACACCAAATTTAATCCATTAATGATCACAACTTGGGGGTTCTGAATTAACAATGTACTTACAGACTCTTTACAAGCAAGGGATGATCCAAAACAGCTGGAACTGACTTTAAACTCTTGGATTTAAGATGAGAGGTGCCTAGAGCCATTAAAGAACTCATTGTTCTTTCTGCATTTAACTTCTTTTAGTTGTTTATGGATGTCTGTGGTTTACAACCCAAAATAATGTGGTCTACGTTTGGCTCTGAGAACAAAGTGCAAAAGGTTTTGAACGTAGACAAACATGAACAAGCCACCACAGCATCTCCAGACACCTCAGAAGGAGGTTTTGCTGGAGTATTAGATGCATTGCTTGTCTTTTCATAGCACTTTTCTCCCTTCGTTTCTTAAGAAGTACTTACACTGTGAGTTATGAAGGAGGATGAAAGAGATAACTGATTTCTTTTCCTGCTTTTTCTGTGCATAAATTTCTGCCAGTTCAGGGAGATGGGTTTGCAAGATAGTTTTTTGCCAGATGTTGCACTTTTCTTTGTACATAGCAGAATTCAGGCATGTTGCCTATCATCCTACCTCATACCAGAAAACTCCTCTCCCATGCAGTGCTGACGAGATCTCTTGTCTATAGAACATAGGCTGCCGTTACCACTGTTCAAACCATGTGCAGCTCAGCAAAGAAATATCTTACTGTCTGTTGGAGGTAGAAGTGAAGCATAATGGACTTACAGACCCTGCAAGCATGGCTCAATAGCATGGGTCAAGGATCACCACTCCCGACAAATAGAACATCTCTGTGTGTTTGTTAGCTTAAAGTAACTCTACGTGCATCACATTTTCAAGACATACATATAAGACACTGTTAACAGATGAAATAAAAGAGCACTCGTGCTTGTGCCTGCTTGTCCTGAAATCATCCACAAATGGCTTTTTCTACTCCTTTTATATTCATGGTGCTTAGCTGCTTACATCAGCTCAGTGAAGGATGCATTTTGTTGTTCCAGCCTTACATCCTCTGGTCACATCCACAAAGGCAAATCTTTTGGGGGTGTATGTTTACTTTCCACCTCAAACATCCCATGGCTTTTACCAAGTTCAGCTTCATACCTTCCACACCAATTGAGATTGCCTCTCGCTTTGAGTGAAGTAGCAGGCTGCTTCAAAATGACTGCCTTCTCCCAAACTGCATATAATGCAATTTCCCTCTGGCCTACACTGGTCGAGCACTTCTTAAAGCCAGCCTGGAGAGACCTACAGGGCACTGCTTATTTACTTGTGATGGCTGGGCTAGTTCATATTCTGTAATGCATGTTTTTGCTTCGAAGACAGAATCAGACTGTAAAGGAGTAAATTATGTGTGTAATTGATGCTTTTAACATTGAGAGCCAGAAAAAAAGTAACCACTGAATTTAATGGGAAATTGATTTCTTGTTCCACCTTCTTACTCTGTTTAATGTATTTTATTTCACACTTTCTCATCAAATTCTAATTGGACATTTAGTTTTGCTTTATAGGGTCTACTCATCACTGTCTATTTTATTATTTGTGCCTACAGCTGTAGGGGATGAGTATCTAGGCTCATATAAAGTAAAAAAATGCTTAAAGTGGTGAAACCATACATGCAAAGAGGAGCCAAAGCAAGGAGGGGCTGCAGGCCAGCACTGCCCCGGTTAAGGCTGAGCTTTACTTATCATCTTCCAGGAAACACGTGATTTGAGGGCTGAAAACAGAAGTATAGAAGGAGGTACCTCCTGTGTCCTAGCACTGAGGAAACGCATCATAAAGATCCTAGAAAGCAGTTTTGGCATTTATCCGACTAATGTAATCCAAATTCTTGGTGGATTCAGCCTCTAAATTAAGGACAGGCTATGCCTGTGGTCCCATTTGAACAGCTGCCCTTTGGCAGGTGATCTACAGCTGAAGGTTATTTGGCCTCTGATTCCTGAGCTCACCTGGAACAAATTGGGGCAGGGAGAGGTTACAGCACTGTGGTATGACATGGAGGAATAGCCTGATAGCTGCCTAAAATGTCTTTCACTAATAAGCTAGCTGTGACAAGCTGAAAAGAGCGTTGCTGTAACTTTCCACACTGGATGGATGTGTGGCAGGGTCAAAGCGAGGGGGCTCAAGGGGAGCAAGGGATGGGAGCGGGATGTGCAGCTGGGTTCGAAGTGGCACATCTAAAGGCACAGTCCTGTCTGGTTTAGTAACAAAATACTCATTATTTCAGTATGTCTCTAATCTCTGAAGCTTTCTTTGGTGGGTTTGGTGGAAAAAAGTGTTGATTTTCATTACAAACCTTGAATTACCTTAACCCTAAATATCCCCCAGAACATAACACAAGCAGCAGTGGATTAATGTCATTGGTGGAGCTGCAAAACAGGCACCAAAGTACACTGCTTTTCAGACACCATCCCCCAAACGCTGCCTGGAGAGCTGACGAGAAACACAGGTGTGGCCTCCACAGCCCCTCCAATGAGGGGAGGAGGTGAGCAGCTGAAGTGCATGAGGGCAGCTTTCTGCCATCAGCTGTGAAATAATGTTTTGATGAATAATTGCTTTAACAGGCAGGTTGAAGAGCATTGGTATACCCTCGATCTCGTCAGGTGGGGTTAGTGCTGGCCATGCAGCAATTCTGGCTTTTTCTGGCCATTTCCACATGGCATAATCAGCACAAGGAGTACTGCTACCATCTTATGGAAGGAACAGCACACATGTTGGATGATGGCTGGTGAGGGGACATGGGAAAATGGTCCAGTGCTTCCTGTACCCTCAGACTGCATCTTCTACCAGGACATGGGCGATGTCTTGCAGAGTAATTCCTGTAAGTGAATTGTTAAGGAAATTGTATTCCTATTAATTTCCTGCCTTCTTCTTGGGGCCCGGTGTTATGCTAAGCTGCTGACTTGTATTGCATTATTCTGCTTTGCATAGTAATAGATAAGGTACGTGACTGATGCAATTTGAAATCTTATTGCTAGTGATTCCTGAGGTGCTGCTCTTTCAAACAAAATGTGTTTTAGCTCTTCGTTGTTTTTACTTGTGTCAACATGAGTTTTACTTAAGTAAAGGTTTCTGAATCTGGCTCCTGCCAGATTTGTAGATGTGGTTCTTAGACAATGCATAGAAGCCCTGTAAGCAATGATGGCAAAACACAAAAATCTTTGAAGTGTCCGTTCTCCCTTCTCTGTCCTGCAGTGGTTCCTTTTCTTGAACAGGTGAAGTCAAGTTTGGAAACTATAGTGCTCTGCCTCTTAGGTTGTATTAAGTACCTATTCTTGAGGTTCCCTTAGAGAGAGTGAATATTGGCTGACTCAGTGTGTTTCCATCCAAAAAACTTGTACTACGTGCACAAAAGAAGCATTAAAGAAAATTAATGTTTAATCTCTTACGTTGGGTAATAGCAGACTGCGGGTGGCTTTGCCAGTTGGATATATGCATTACCTGATACTGTACCAATCTCCTAGGGTAATTTTTCCCCTCCACAGTATCCAGACGAGAGCCTCAGTTGAGGTGCTCAGCTCATCCGAAAATGGTATTTGGTTTTGTAGAAGTAAGTGGCAAACGGTGGAGACTAACGGATGGTTGGATGCCATTTACAGGTTCCTGGCTGGCAGTGACACAGGCACAGGCAGTCCTGGGATCTCCAGACATTGCCTTTTTTGGTGCCAGTCCTCTTTGCTGACACATTGCTTTCATGAATCTCATCATTAGTGCTGTAAGCACATGAAGTATTTGTTAATTCTACTGTAACATGATTATTAAATCCATTAATCAAAGGCAGGAGATCCGTAATTAACTTATTCTCCAGCATCAAGTAAATGATTCTGCTGTGAGCTTTAAGAAAGCAATTGTTCACTAATATGCAAAATACAGTGGGGCTATTAGACTATAAGGCTTTGTAATTGTATAATTAAATTATAAATTTTGCATATTTTAATAACATATTTTAATTATTTTCTTTGTAAAGTTAAAATGGAGGGGTTTTATTTTGCCCCCTTTTTTTTTTTTAGGCTTTACATGTAATTTACCAAAAATTAAAAAAAGCTGGTCTCCTGCCTGTAAGTTGACTGTTTTCATGTAAGGCTTTGGCTAGGCTTTTGGTGACTCAACTTGGACCTATCTCCAGCAGTGGCTGAGTATACATTTCTCCTGTTTCATTTTCAGCATCGTTGTTGGTGACTGTAGGCATTCAAATTTTAACTTGCAAAGACAAAAGAAGGGCCTGCTAGCACTGGTCTCGCACCACATGTTTGGGTTTAATATAGGCTTACTGATTCCTTTTCCCACAAGTAAGTCTGGAAGTCCCTTTTCACAAGCTAGTATTTCCTTCCAAGGGGCCAGATGTTTCAAGGGTTCTTTTCAAGCCTGCTTCACATCTCTGCTATTCTTTAAGTAGACCAAATTTCTGAAAGCGTTATAGTTTTACTCAGAAACACCTGAGCCTCCTGTCCCACAATGGGAAGGTGTTACTGGAAACATTTAGGGAGTCAGCAGTAGGTAATCAAGCATTTCTCTGAAGCCATTCTTTTGAGAGGTGAGAGTTATAGTGAGGAGACTTGCGCGGAAAGTATCGTGAGGACACTTCCCCCATGTGTCCTGCTCATATTTCCAGCCTCACAAATCTTAGTTGCTCATCTTGACCTTTCTCTGTACACTTTAATCACAAGTGCAATATAGAAGCAATAGCCAGCATCATTCCCCTTCCTCTTGAGGGAGAGGGGCATGAAGGTTTGTCCACCTTCTGCCTTAATTTTAGAGAGAGCTAATGGAAAAGCATCCCTGTGTTTTGAGCAGACTGCGGTATTTTCAGGTGTGTTTTACTGCAGCAGATGCTGTAGCTTAATGCGGAGTGAAACAATTTGTGCATCGGGCAGTTGCTGTCCACATCAGCAGTGGCACAGTAGTGCTGTCAGGTACAGCGCGGCTTCAAAGA